CAATACCGTGATATTGTTCCAATGCAGTTTCCTTGGCATTCGTGTCCAACAGAGCCGAATACGCTCCACGATAAACAGGTATCTATAGAGAATATCTAACTTTGAATGTAGCAAGTATAACTTTGATTCAATAGCAGATTAATGAAACGTATGCAATTTTTACATATTTTATATAATTACGATCGACCATAATCAGTCTATAATAATTGAACATAATAAAAGAAAAAATATCAATATAAGCCCTTTAAGACTAAAAAAATTGTTTCTCTAGACAGAAATTCAGTGAGACAATCAGTGTGTCTCCTTTTCAATCTCTCTAATCGAATCTCATTAAACGCTATTGTAAACGAATGACACGTAACTTACATCCATACAATCGCACGCGTGCAGCGTTCTGAACACATTTCTCACGACATTGTCCACCTTCGTGTTACCGTTCACGCAGGTGATGGCTTTGACGTTCAGTCTCTTGTCGGTGTGACCGGCCAGGAGAATGATCAAGGCCAAAGCGTCATCGATACCGGCGTCACAGTCTACGATGATGTTCCTCGGAGGCACCACCTCGCGCATTTCTATCTCGGATTTTGCCGCCGGTAGCATCCTTACGGTCCGGGAACGCGCATGTGGAATCGGTAAAGTTATCAGATGAAAACGAAGCTCGGGCACGAGACGAGACGTACGGTATTTATAGAAGCGAGGACTGATAAGAAAGCGCGAATCGCTGATTGCGCGTCTTGTTGTTTGTCCCACCGAGAAGATAAAGGTCTTATCGGACTTGTCTCCGCGAGGGATATAACAGTTGCTGTTCATGACATCAATTTTGTATAATTTTGTATAATTTTGCATAAGGAAGCTTAATGGGGGAAATGACTGTTTTTAAAGGGGAATTGTTTATTGTTTATTGTTTTATGAGAATTCTTGACGATTTCGTTGATCTTGAGCTCTGGAGCGAATCTCAAACTTCGCGGCTCGCTGATAATTCATACGTGGGGAGGTCCCAAAAAGAGTTTAGAGAATTCGGACTTAAACGGATTTAAACAAAGGGGTGGAAAGGAAAGAAATTGGCTCTGCGATAAGTGACATAAACTCTAGTCCGATTTTGTATATAACACTTTGTAGATATTATCACTTTTCTGAATATGCGCTTATCTCTCAATAATTAATTAATATTCAAACACGGAAATTTGCAGATAGAAATAATATAATTTGTCATTGTAAACATTAAAAATAAAAGGAATAGGGAACTCGAAAAAAGAATAGATTCGAAGTAAGCGAATTTATCAGTACTTTTTGTACTTGTAATTTCGCATTTTTTAATTGATTTGGCGCTCAAGATGTAAAAGTAGAAATACAAAAATCAAGAATAAGAAAACCTCTTGATAGATTTCAATAAAAATCATTGTAAAAACTCATTAAAATCATTTAATAAAAATTTTTAACACTACATTTTTGAAACTCATATTTATGTGAACTTTTATGTTATAAATGAGTTCAAAAATCAATTTCTAAATTATTTTAAACAATACTAGGAAGTACCTAGTATATTACAAAAAAATATAATTAAACATGTATTAAATATATATTATCTGATATTATGTATTGTCTGAAAAATAAATATGAGAGAGAGA